GTCACAACGAGCATCAGTGGTGTTTGAATGATGCTGTTTCAGATTGATAATAATATCGAGAGTCACGGTGTAGTGCTTAGCTCGTCTTCGTGTTAAGTAGATCCTGGGTTTGACTCGCTGACGGGAGGCTGCTGTCTCGGATAAAGGGTTTCGTAATATTTTAATCGTTCCCCAGGAAGTTTCTGAGACATTTCCTTCAAATAGGATGCTACGTTTTTCTTCAATTTTATTACTTATAGTCGTCACAGTGTGGTCCCGCTATTCAGGGCTTTCATCACTGAAGATGGAGGCGATATGTTCCTCCGAAACATTGGCAGTCATTTGCAAGGCAAGCAGGAACACTGAGATAGACATACACAGTGTTCATGTGTGTATGTAACAAGTTGAGAAATCGACATTGAATGTTGTATTATGTTGGCTTGTTTTAAAATGTAAAGAATGTCAACTATAGGTTGTTTTTATGCTTGGAAGGATGTGTGACTGTTACAGCTCTTCATTTTAAGGCAGGAGTTTTGGACGTGTTAAAGTGTCCCCTCGCGTTTAGCAAAGGTTCCATTGTCCTAAGTTTCTTTTGTTGACATTTACGGTTAACTGCCGCAGTTAATCCCGCTGAAATAACAACTGTGTGTGGTGTGTCCAGTGGGGAAATTCTGTGCTAGGCCAATTTTTTTTTTTTTTAGAAAACATTGTTATCAGTTGTTTGCCTCTGACAGAAGGCCATGTTTCTGCGCATTAGAAACATTTTAACGCTAGTGCCTTCATAAAATGACTGCCTTGCAGTTTGTGTCACGTATTTGCATTTTCGAAACATGACAGGAAGCCCACAGTTGCGTTATCATAAACGGATATCAAATATTAATGCCCTCGGATTAAATTAAAAACGTAGATTTATGTGGCATTGTTGAGAGGAAGAAAGTGGAACTCACAGTTTTGTCTCGCCTTTGTAGAGAAATGCCGACACTTGGTGTTCCACAGGCACTACCCTGGTATCATGGAAGATGTCGTCTTTGCGTATGTTGAATCGATAACGTGGAAATCTGCTTGTGCGCGTCTGGTCGATTGACGTCGGTTCAGATGCGTCTTCTCCGGCAACCAATAGGCAGACGTGTAGCAGTACCAATGGGATTAGCGCTGCTGTCGCACGGACCAATAGCATGACGTCTCCGTCTGCTCCACCATTTCCATTGTTGCGAGGCATTTTATAGACTCTTCGCTGCAAATATCAGAAATTCATTAAGTAATGGTTAAACAGAATGAGATGCTGGCATTGTGGTCATATAGAATGGAAACATGACAATAAATAAACAGATGGTAGGCCTATATAAGACGTAACTTAATCCTTTGTGGACCAATGGTAACTATATGTACCGTACCATCTGATTTAAGAATCAGCTAGCGGTTAGAACGCTGGCCTCGTAATCCTGGGGTCTCGGGTTCGATTCCCGGCGGTGCCCGAATTTATAACTTGTGTTGGGCAAGGCCGTGGTCTAGGCAACACGGAGTTTTCCTCCGTGGCATCCCAACAATTACTCCATTCACAAACAGAAGAAGGCAATGGCAAACCACTTATGGATCATCTGCCAAGAACGTATATGAAAAGGTCCCAGTCCGAGAAAAGGATCGAAGGATCCTGTTCATATGGACCTGTCCTCAGACAGAACACTAAATAATAATAAAAAAAATATAAGGCAAAGTTACCATAAAGAGGTATGGAGGAGTGGAAGTACAGATCCACCAAACTTCGACACTAGATGGAGGTGAGTGGTTAGCTTCATGTTCCGGCCGCTTTATCCCCAGAGAAAAGTGTTTTGTGTGATTCTCAGCGTAAACAGCGATTATTTCCTTAAACAGCGTTAACTGGTTGTTCTTTGTAACGGTGAAGAGTTGTGTTTTCTTCGCGGTACGGACTGAATTCTTTAAATGTTATTTGGCCGAACTTCGGCGTCAGACGGGGATATAATGTTTCCATTTGTGTACCATGAATAACACGTTCGCCCTCACTTTGAATTAACATTCGTTTTCAGGAAACGTTCGGAAGGAATGTATTTGAATTTCAACGCTTATGCAGAAGTATTGTTTAAACAGTGTTTGTCGTCGGACCGTTACCATCAATAAAGCAAATGAAATTTGTACGTCTGAGATGTGTGGAACTTGGACACGTAAAAATATCACAAACGGCTCTGGTAGTGTTGGTGCTATTGGAACTGAAGTGTAACGTTGGAAGTTTATCTGTGTCGTGTGGCCTTGGTACGTTTCTCGTTTCTTCCTCTATTTCATTCCCTGTCCGGCTTCACTTCTTACACTTCAGAGAAGGAAAGAATGTTTCAGGAGATTTCAAAAAGGAATCGAGAGCTGTAAGTCTGATGGAAATTATCTCGGACCAATTGTTTATCTTCGACTTATTTTTAATATTTTGGCATGGGGAACTCATTCTCAGGCCTGTATTTGTGCCAGACTTTTAAAATTTATACCTGCAATGTCTATTATAATAATATATAGTAGAATATTTTAATTTGTAGGCTATTTAGTTAAATGTCCGTTATACATGAAAAAGTTACATTCAGAAGTCAAGGTTTAGATATTATACTTAATACTTCATGCAAACGTCGCTTATAAAGTGAGTTCTTACTGAGAAATTTTGTGGCTGTCGATTTTAGCGTCAAATCAATTGCTGATCGCCACAAAGACAAAAGTTCTAGAATTAGGATTTGAGGTTCTTAAGGCGGTGAGCACGAAGATGGCTATCTTCTGGGTTGTAGAGTCGTGTATTCTGGTAGGGGTTTATACCAACGTTTCATAATCAGAACGAATATCGCCCTGGTGATGGAGGCTGCAAAGACCTTTGAAACGTTGGTAAACTTCTACCAGACTACACGGCTCTACATCCAAGAAGACAGCTATGTTTATACCGTGATGGAAACAGGGAATTTCTTGGTTAGCTGAATAACTAAAACATAAAATCAGTGACTGTATACAGTGGAGCTATTGCAAGTAATTTCAATCCTTATAATGACGTAATATAATAATAATGATAATAATAATAACAAAAACATAAATTCAGAGTATAAGCCAATGCCTGTATTTTTGAGTGTCATATTTAGAACAACATATCCGTCCAATTTTCATAATGAAACAGCAGCCCGGATCTCATTTCGGGGGTGATTGACGTGTCTCCCCCCCCCCTCCAACATAACAGTACGGATGTTTGCGTGCTTCCAAACAAACACGAGCAGTTCCCACGCAACTCCGCTGGAGATGACAGGCCATCTGTTGAGTCGGAACAAATCTTCAAACTGCTGGAAATTTGAAACTAGGGAAGTCACATATGGCCGTAATCAGTGCATATGGTCAAATCTGTAAACCATATTTTTACTAACACATTTAATTATCGCTACCACAAACCCCTAGTACTGGATATTATCTTAAATAAATGTACTATTAACTGACTGAATTTTACATTTCATCTCCAGCTAACATAGAGAGGTTTATTCACTCCACCCTGCGTGTACGCTTTTATGCATAACGGCTACGACTTTAGGAACACCTCGAAATTATCTTACTTAGTGTAAATTTTAAGTGTCTTATCTGTATTGTGGGGGTACTCGACTTGAATCTAGTCCAGGCTGACGTTGCTTAAAAATGTAGTCTTGGAAGCTGTCGGATTAGATATTATCTTTTGACATAAAAGATTCATTTCTAACCCCTGTCGTAATGATTCAAGATACTACCTACATCGCATATTATATGACCTGCGCAGTCGGTGTATCATAAAATTACCTTCAAATGTTCGATTATGACGCGTCAGATATTGTAATTTTTGGGTCTCTGCGTATTTGTTGAAACAACTGGTTTAGAATTTCACATTTGTGTAGTAAATACGAGTACTAATGTATAATACCATTAGGTCGCGGAGTACTCTTTGAAAACCAGTAAGCTAGATTCTAGATTTATGATTATAATACGTATTCTTTAAAATTTGGTACTACATATATGTTTTTGACGATATTTTAACCTATGTTTCGATGCTGTCTAGGTACATAAATAAATAATCAATGTCTACCTACGAATCAACATCGTTATTCTCCCAATCTAAAATATAATTTTGGCACTTTTTAGTCCAGTGTAATTTTTGTTTGTAAGGTAAACCTAAATTGACTTCTTTCTTTGGTTTCTTATGTTGGGGGAATACCACAAATTACAAGCATTTTAAAACATGTATAACAGAAAACTAATTGGACCAAAGTGTGAAATTTGGTGCCCTCTTGGCCTATTACGTAACGAAAAACCGTGTGACATTTATAGGCCATCTATAATTGTAAAATCAAGACTGCGATTTCTGGACGGTATGTAACTAGGATGGGGGACATGTAAAATGATTACCAATTTCGGTGGGAATATCTCTTTGTAAACACTCATGGGAGGATAATATTAATATAGATGTTAGGGAGGGTGGGATTTGGAAGAACCTTGTCACTCACCACTGCGAGCAGAGTTGCTCCTTTAAGATCTGCTACCATAGTGTTACCTGAAGAGAATCAGGCGGGGTAAGAAACAGGTAGTGTAAATACAGGACAAGAAGACAAATTATTTTCCTTGTTAGGATTGAGTGAGGTGAAAACGGATGTAGTTTTGACTACAGAACCGCCATTCTGCGATTAATTAAGTTTATGGTAATAAATATTAAAGAAACGCAATATTCTGCCTGAAAAAAAAATCATTGAAAAATGACCAAACCAATACTTGACTCTGCCAAAAATAGTCATATAATCATAATGCTAAGCAAGCAACATTATTTTGACAAGCTATTTTTGTATAGACAAAAAACCTTTTAAGTAAAAACTGTTTGGAACAAGGACCGTGTGTTCCCAATCTGGTTGGTCCCCCATTCCGTCAAACCCTTCACCCCCTCTCCTCCTCCCTTAACCCCTACATGAGTCAAGGTTAATTTTGTTGACGGCATTCTATAATGAATGGTTAGTGAAATTACAAGCAGTCGGAAGACGGCAATAATTTTTTCGTAGTTTTAATCCGAATTTTTGTGGACAGCTGTTGGGAATTTCGCTATTTCCAACACTAAATTAACTTTGCTTGGATGTTTATGTTTTATCGTCGTTCCAGTAGTAAAT